CTCAGGGTGAAAACGTGACGCCACAGTGTGTGGGGGAGTCACTTCCTCCCAGCCCCCATGCCGCCTGGCTCTGACCTCAGCTTCTGCCTCTGCCCTGCGGTGCTCACCCTGTGCCCGCCACGGCGACCTGCGGCTCGCCTGTCACCCTGGGCCTGGGCTGCTTACTCTTCCCCAGACGCCTATAGGGCTCATTTCCCCCATCCTCAGTGGAACCTTCCCCAGCGCGCTCGCACACGTGCGCATGCGTACACTCACACACACGCCATCACCTGCAAACAGCTCATTTGGCTTTGTTTCACTTTGTATTTTAAAATAATAAAAGACTCCCAAGAAGTTGCAAAAACAGTACAGAGAGGTCCTGCGTACCCTGCCTCCTCCATCCCCCAAGGGCACATCAGAGTAACTAAGGACATTAGCAAAACCAGGACACTAACCCAGGCACAGTGCTATGACCTGGACTGCAGGCCTTCAGCACACTGCATCATCTTCTGCACGCACCAACCTTATACGTCACGTGTAGTTACACACGAACTGTGAAGCTTTATCACACACACAGACACATCTCCCCACCACTGTACTCGAGACGTGGGACTGTGAGGTCCCCACACAGGCACTCATTCCGCCAGCTTCCTGTTTAACTGCACGCATCGCCACGCGGGCCCATGAGTACACAAACAGAATGTGAGCACCCTGAGATCGGGGACTGTGTCTTTCTTATTCAAAGGATCCCTAGCACCAGGCCTGGCATACAGCAGGCACTCAATAAACACCTGATGGATGAATGATGCTGGGAGTGGCTGCTGACGCTCTCCCCAGCTTGCGCATCCCATGCTCTCAAGGAGACAGACATCTTCCCATCACTGCCTCCCCAGTCCCTCCTCTTACCCTGGGGACCCAGGTGCTCTATCCAGGCCCCGTGGCATGCACACACCAAGGCCCCGTGATGGCAAGGGCAGCCATCTACTACCCAGCCAACGTGGGCACCGGAGACCTTCACATGAAGGATGTTGGGGTCCCTGAAACTATACACACAGTGGGGCAGGCACATGCCTGGGAGAGGGTCTCACGGCCGTCATCAGTCTCAGGGCCTTGTGCTCTGATTCATCCAAGAGCTGCCATCTAGCCAGAAGGAGATGCTGAGTCCTTGGGGGAGGGACAAGAGTCTCGCAGCCCCCCAGCTCAGGCCCCACTATCCCGGGATGTGTGAACCCAACAAGTCTCTCAGTTGCTCTGAGCCTCGGTTTTGCAGAGTCAGTCAATCAACAGACCCTGGAGCAGGGCCGGCAAGAGATGCGCCACTGACCAACTGTGACTTCCCATGGCCAGGCCCTCTACACAGTCAGGTTGGCCCTGTAGAGAAGGCAGTGTTACTGTTCTCACTCACAGATGGGCACGAGCCTGCAGAGACGGGCTGGGCCTGGCCTCAAGCCCAGGCAGACCCCAGGGCCTGGATACGGCCTGTACCTGACACCCCGGAGTCCCAGGAGCCTGTCTTGTCATATCAGAGCCCCTGTGGTGGCCATGTCCTGTCACCCCGTTGTGGCCAGTGAGGCTTAAGTGGAAGCCTGTTGAGGCCTCTGTGAAAGTTTCCATTTTTCTGCTAGAAGAGACAGAGGCAGTTCGTACTATCTCTTATTGTCCTTTCTGCCCTGAACGTGGCTGTGTCGTCTGGAGCTGTGACAGTCATCTTGTGACCATGAAGCAAGGTCCAAGAGACTCACAGATACTCGTCCTCAAACCACTAAACCCAGGGGACACTGGCAATGTCTGGAGACATTTTCGGTAGTCATGACTTGGGGGAGGCAATGCTACTAGCTTCTAGGGGTGGAGGCCAGGGATGTTCCACCCCCTTCCAACATTCTAGAATGTACATAGCGAGGCACTCAGTGAACGGGAGTCAAGGCCACAGTCGGGCCCCCTTAACAGGCAGGGAGAGCTGCACCCAGGGAAGCAGCTGGTCCTTCAAAAATAACCCAAGGAGAGGCTCTGGGCGCAGCCAGGCCCAGGACAAACCTCTACTCCCGGTGCCCTCAGCCCAGGAATGGACAGACACCCCCTGAACACCAGGGCACCTTCCAGGCCAGACTAAGCTCTGCCTGGGCACAGACCCTCTCCAGATGGCTGCAGCTCCCCTCCCAGCAGGTGACGGACACGCTCAGCTGGCAGACACCCTTGGCGAGCCAGGGCCACCGGCTCCTGCACTTGCCACCGCAAAGGAAGGCTCCTCCAAACCGCGGACGTTGGCCCCGCCACATACAGTTAGAAATGCACAGGTGAGTTAGGTCTCACAGAGCCTGTTCAACTTAAAAAAAGGAAAGAGGCAAGGAAATCCCGGCAAATAGCATAAAGTGTAAAGTTCTTTGGTAAATCATTCTAAACTAACATTTAAGACCCAGCCAGGCGAAGATTCCACAGGGTCCTGCCTAAAAGCAGAGCTGTGGGATCTTCAGAGTTGTCCAGGGCAAGGTATAAAAGGTCGGGGTCAGAAAGTCGAGGAAGAGTTCAGCCAGGCATGGAAGGGGTTAACTGGTGGACAACCCTCAGTTGCCCGGGCTCCTGGCTCCCACCTCCCTCCATGCCCTCAGCCAACAGCAGGGCGGGCCTCGCTGCCAGCCCAAGGCCGACAAAACTGGCCGCTGAGTCAGGCCCGGCTGTGCTCCCGGGGCCTGATTGTTCACAAAGACAAAAGGGACGCTGACGGCCCAGCTCTCCAGTGGGCGGGGGCTGGGGGCAGACAGCTGACCCAGGCAGCCCGCCCCGCTGCACCCAGGAGCTGCACCCGGGAGCCTCCCCCCACCCACCTCAGTAAGGCCTAGAGGCAGGGGCAGGGGGCAGCGCAATTCTCAGAGGCTTGAGTTCAGATCTCCCAGGAGACCAAGAGCGGATGGTCCCTCTGACACCGTCCCTGTTTGGGTCTCCACCCTTTGGCAACCAACGAACAGAGTCTGCGGCCTCTTCACCGTCACAGGTATTAACGGCCAGCCAGCAGATTTAGTTACAAAACACCGTCGCCTGAAGTCGGGTGCACACAGTGGCAAACACTGTGACTGATCCCAACTGCTTCTGGATGGGTGGTGTTCACAGGATTCCAGGACAGCAAGGGAAAGGTCGGGTTGGGGCCCTTCCCACCCTACCCCACCAAGAAAGCATATGTTCAGGCACCCACCACCTGTGTTCTAATCTCCTCCCGGACGTCTATTACCTCGCCCCCTCCCCGGGCCCGGACATGTGGTTAGCCTTTCTCTGCCTCAGTTTCCCCATCTATAAAGTAAGAATAGTTTCAGTACACTGTTTTAAGCAGTTAATGTTCCTGTTTTCTGGATAAGGAGGATGCCACTGCCAAGACAGACCCAGCTGGTAAGCGGCAAAGTCAGGATTCGAACCCACATCTGCAAGCCCCAGAGGCCGAGCACTGATGGTTATGGAGTCCCACAGGCAGCTGCGTGGATCAGAGAGAGCCCAGATGCAGGTGGGAAGGCCTCATCCCACTGTAAGCAGAAAAGAGCTGCAGGCACTGGAGGCGCACACCCTCGCCTCTGGGCAGCGGCTCCTGCCCAGCCCATGCCCCCAGGCGCCTGCTGTGGGCCTGGGGAACGGAGCCAAGGTTCTGAAAAACAAGGAACACCCTCTTCTTGTGGCCTGAACCCCAGAGGAAGAATCTTGGTGAAGGCATGAAGGCTGGAGTGTCCCCAAACACCCTCTAAGACGATTCTAGACATCTACAAAACAGATTCCAGGATGAGACGGACAGGGCGGCCTGCTCCCACCACCCTACATACTCCCTTCCCAGGAGGACAGAGGCACCCCAGCAGGAAGCTGAGCTGCCCGGCCACTCACACAGGCTAGCAGGGCCCCGCCACCCTCCAGCACCCCTCAACCAGCGGCTCCTCCCATTGCTATACTTGCACACATCCACCAGTACACACAGAAGCTGGCAGGGAGCCCCCAAGTAACCCCAAGCACTCCCAAAAAGTGGGCACAACAACTTCTGCTGGGGCCTCTGACCCATTCACCTGGGAGCCAGGCTCAGCCCGGTTCCACAGGCCCCTTGTTCACACTGCCCCGGTGAGGCAGGTTACTCCTCAAGCTGTGTGTCTCTCCATGGTATCTACACGGTGCACGCACGTGTGTGCACACACATGATCAACTGGCATTAGGGATTCGGATTCAGAAAGCTCATGAAGTGCCAATGCCCTAAAAGGGGTGGTGGTCTCTGAGCTGCCTTCCCCTCCAACTCCAACCCCATCAATACGCCACGGTGCTAGGGCAGACAGCTCCCATCCATCACCGGGGTGGGGAGGCAGGACACAAGGCAGGACCCTTTGTATCCCTTAAGTGTGCGTGTCCTTCCCCAAGCAGCTGCCAGGCCTTATCAGATGTTTTAAAAAGGGCAGGGAGGTGGGAGGCATTTTAGGATGGAGAAGAGTGGGATGTGCTGCTTCTAAATGAGTCAGACTAGAAGCCCACAGGCCAGGCCACTCAGGCAGGTGGCCTCCGCCCCGAACACATCGTATCTGCAGCAGCGTTCACACATCAGACCTGGGAGGCAATGGCCTACTGCCACCACCTGCCCCAGCACCAGAGCAGGTGACAGGAGCGCCTGGGGAAGAGCCCGGCCTGCCAGTCCCTAAGAGTCATCAGCAAACACTTTAATAGGGCGTTACCTGCACCAGGCCCACCCTAAACCCTCTATTCAGAGAACTCAGATGTGCTGTGCCCACTCTCATTTTACACGTGACAAAACTAAGGCCATACACCTAGCAAAGGGAGCTGCGGTGTGCACCAAGGCAGGCAGGCTCCAAGGCTCACGATCCCCTAGGTGGTGCGGCCTCTGCCAGGGATGGAGAAATGCAATCTGCCTTCTCTTCACTCCCTTGGCTTAAACGAAATCACATGTCTGAAAACCGTCATTTCATCAGCCTTCCAGACCCAGGAAGCCCAAGGCCCTCTCCACTTCATCTCCAAGGACTGCCCACCCCAAGCCAGCCACATCCACTCACCCGTAAGTCCGCTGGATCAAGGTGGGGTGCAGCTGCTGCACCCCAATGGCAAAGCCTAAAACGAGAGAACAATCAGGGACTTGGCCTTGCTGCAGGAGCGATGTCTCAGGGGCTGCACACATGGTGGCAGAATCCCACAAGTCACACATCTCTAGTCAAAAGGGATCATCAGCTTCCTCTCCCCTCCCAGGCCTCCCCCTCATGAACCCTAAAGCACACCTCTGAAGTGTGGCAGCCAGTGACGCAGGTGTCAGCAGCCACTGGTGTCGGCACTCCCAATCTCCAGGCCCCTTGGCCACTTCCTCCCTCCTGCGAAGACAGCTGGCAACTGGGATGCAGTACCCTCCCTGCCCCCCCCACCCGCCCCCTTCTGTGGGCCACACGCTGTGAGAAGGGGTCTAGATCCTCCAGGGGGGGATGGCTGCCCTGTGGCGGCTCTGCAGGCACATGATAGCCGACTGCCACTGCTGGGGCGAGGAGGGGGGGCCTCTTTCCACCCGACAGATACCGACACCCAATATAGAAACCGAGAAGAGCCAAGCAGGAAAACACAAGCTCTCACCCGTCTGGAGGCTCCGAGGCTTGGCGCCCAGATATGCCAGGTTCACGTTGGCCTTGCGGCCGTCGATGATGGGGTTCGGGTCTTTGCAAGCCCTCTCAGCTGCCGCCCGGTCGGCCATGGTCACCTGGAGGAGCCACAGACACATCAGGGGCTGCCGTGAGGGAAACTAGGGGCAAAAGGGGCAGAGGGCTCCGCCCTGGCACCGGATGCTGCCACCCCTCTCTTCCCTTCCTCTGAGGGTGCCTGTAACCTAGGGTCCTTGAGCCAAAGCCCCTCTGACCCCTACCTGGGGCCCTCCCACAAAGATGCCTCCTGGATTCCAGCTCCTCTCCTCAAAGTTCAAGGCCTGGGAAATGTGGCCTTCAAGGACAAAAATAATCCCCTGCGGGGACAGGGCAAAAACGAACCCCGAAGGGAGGTGGGGGGGCTGCCTGGACTGCCCACCAGTGAGGGCCAAGACTTCCCTCTGGGAAGGAGTTTGCGACGTTGCACTTGGAAGGGAAGTAGGAAAGTGTCTTCAAACCGTTTTTACTTAAGCTGATGTTTACTTGGGGTGGCTGAGGGGGCTGTTGAAAATATGGGGGAGGCCGAAGGGCTCCTAACACCCCGGGGTGGAGCCGTTGCTCCTCACCCGCCGCTGCTTCAGGAAACCCCGAGTACCCACTGGCTCCAAAACCTCCCCACCAACTTAGGAGTCCTAATTGAACACAGCGGCTCTTCCTTTTAAACCAGGGGTGGGGGTGGGGGTGGGGACAGG